GCAAACAGAGGCACCTCCAGCGACCTAGAATGTTTTCGGAGAAGACCCTCATGAACTGCAAAGACCGTCGTGAACTGCGATTTCCACTCTTCACATCACAGCGCAAGAAGAGCAACAGACCCACCTCGAACGTGTATAACTTCGGCCCTGGAACAGAGATGGACTAATCTCAGCCATTGTCCAAACCTGCAATATCCTCCACACAAATACCAGCGGCACCTCATAACTAGAGTGATATGGCAGCTGCTTGGAAGATACCTCCATACACAGCCTAGAGCATCCTCAAAAACGGTAACACCATTACAACACCAACAAAACTCAAAGCAAGCAAAACCAAGCAGAACTCTATCTCTCTGCCTCTTAATCGGGTCCAAAACTTCAAAAGTGAGAAGATAAACCTACGAAAGAACAAACTCACATGCTCAATCTCACTCATGGATGAGGAGAATAAGATAACAGAACACCATTGTTACCGGGGGGAGCTTTCTCTCTCTTTATTTTGAACATCTATTTCTATTATTTTTTTTCATTTGAACTGAATTTTCTCCAGAGAAATTCTCAACCCAGAGAAAATTCAATTCAAATGAAAAAAAATAATCGAAATAGACATTTTGTGAGCTAAATTACTAGAGAAATTTTCAACCCAGAGAAAATTCAGTTCCATTGCCAAATACTCTTGGAAGCTTGCAATTCATTGTTGCGATTTGCCAAAGCTTCTTTCAATGTCTTCGTTTCTTCTTCCATTTCCAATAGACGTTCTGTGAGCTAAATTACCAAAGCTAAATTTTAAATATTATTACACAAAAAAAAAAAAAAAGAATGGCAGAAGTGCACAAGTTTCTTTTCCTTCTATATATCTCAATTAGAGATCAACATCAAACCTGAAACAGCTTCTTCAGCAACTTTAGTATGTTGTTTTACTAGGTTGTCCTTGTTAGTCATCTCTGAATGGGTTACAGATAGCTGCCATGAGATCGATTCTTCTCGATATCATGAGAAACAGCATAGTCAGAGAAAAATGGTTAAAACACATTATGAAAACACATTTGATAAATTCCGAAGTTAGAGAAATTTGGTTAAAACACATTCCGAAGTCAGAGAAATTCAAAATTTCTCTAGAGATAAATCCAGAATTTCTCTGGAGAGAAATTTCTCTGGACCAATTTTCTCTGGATCAACTTGAGGGACCTTAGACATTATGAAAATATTGAGTGTCCTTTATGCTGTAAAATCTTAATACCAGAGACCTTAAAAAAAATTCCCCTAAAATCATTGATCCTTTCACTTTAATTTAATTATTGATATTTTAATTATCATGGTAATATATTTCAAATTTCAAAATAATTACCTTCAAATTTCTATATGCATGATTCTTCTATGACATTGTTATGGAAATAAATCAAAATTTTAACAACAATGAAAACTACTTCACCAAATTTAGTTTGTTTATTATAATGGTAAATGTGGACCCATATAATACATAGTAATCATGATCATTTATTTTGCAAAATTTTATTTTTTTATTCAAATTATATATATATATATATATATATATATTTATATTAAGTAGATTATGAAACTATCCATAAGGTAAATCATAAACACATGTTATTCTCTAATGCTCACTGTAAGTTGAGCAACCAGTCCAAACAATTTGGTCTAACTTTAATAAAAAAATAAGAAATCAGGCCTAAACTTGAATTTTTATCCATAAATTACACCTTAATCACTAAAATAGTTCAAATTTAAAAGTGAACAAAAAATGTAAGTTTGTGAGCTAACTCAATTACATTATTTTGCATATAATTATTTTATATATTTGTATTTTTTTTATTCATTAAGTGGATTAATTTTTATTTTTAAATTATAAAATATTTAAATAAATTATTACAAGTAAAAATTAAAAATAGAGATCTATATTTCAAACCATGAGAATTGTTTGTGGCCTGAACCAAAAAAAAGTTGGCCTAACATCAAGTGGATTTGGTCTAATTCAGACAATTTGTATTATTAGTATGTGACTTTTAATTGCATGTTCATTATAGTATAACACATAACATTATTAAATAAATTCTTTAAGATCTAAATAAGACACGTCATATGGTTAAAATAGTCATCATATGACCTTCATTTATTTAAATATTTAACATAAAAATTTAAATAATTTATATGTCTCTTATTGTAAATACTATTTAAATATATGTACAATTTTGAAATAAATTAAATATTATTTCAAATAGTGGGAAAAAAATTAAATTTATGAGTAACTTTTCAAAATTTATAAAAGTACTATTTAAAGTGTACATTTTGTATAATTTTTGTAATGAATAAAGAAAACGTCTGCATATTTTTATATAAATTATTTGCTTAGTTAAATTATATCAGTAAATGCTCCAATGTGACAAACATATTTGCCTTAACTAATAAAATAGTAAGTGACAGTTCTCTTAGAGGTATGGTAAAAAAAAAAAATTGCTTAATTTATATTTAATTACGTTATATATTAGTTTCTTAATTTTTTTCATGTGAAACATTTAAAATATATACATTAATTTAAAAATTAGGAAAAAAATTGACCTTGGTGGAATCGGACCAAAAGAATGGCTTTAAGGTGGGCTGAATACTAGATTAGCCAAACCAAAACTCAAGTTTTAATTTTTAGGGGAACTTACTGATAAGTTCCATGTAACAAGTTCAAAATTCAATTAATCCCAAAACAAAATACTTGCACCAATTAGTCCAACACATTTTTAATTGTTACCAAAAAATCCTTTTTTTTTTTTAATTTATAGACACTGTTCACATCTTACTACCAGACGAGATGTTTTTTCTTTTTGATTCAACTAAAAAGTTTAGGAGAAGGGGAAGCTATCCCATTCTAGGGTCAGGGAAAACATTACGCAATATCGCCCATCAATAAAGGACTGCCGGCAGCAAGACTCGAACCCAAGCCAAATAGGTGAAGGGAACAAACCTTACCAACTGAACCAACCCTTGTTGGTATTGGACGAGATATTTTACGACTATGCTTAGCGCGCTAAAAATTACTTTGAAGGGTGACCCGAGAAAAAGACTACTTTCTTTGTTATCTTTTATATTTCATTCTATAATTTATATTTTATGTTAACAATTTTTTTGCAGAAAGGAGTAAAAGTTAATTGACACACATGATTTGATATATCATTGGTTGAACTCTAACATAAGACAAGCTATAATTACAAAACAATAATAACATAATGTGTTTATGTTTTATTGTAAGTGCAGCTTTTGTAATTTACTCCATTTTTTATTCTTAATTTTTCTAATTATGTTATAGCACATGTTTTTGTTATTTAATTCTCAGAACACACCATTAATGTCAAAAAAAAAAAAGAAATTACTTGTAATTGTATTGAAAATAATTAAAATTTACTTGATTCTAAATTATTTTCTTCTCCATTTTAAAAATATTTTTTACTTACTATATAAAATTAATATTAAGTTTTAATTATTTGTGTTAGACCGTGCATAGCATGGATGTAATACTGCCTAGTGTATATATATACACTATTTTATATTATTAAAAGTGAACAACTCACTTAGTATTCACTACATAAACAACATAGAAGATATATTTTCAATTCAAAATTAAAATTTAGATTTTAAGCACACTCGTCGGGTGAGCTCACCCCCTGGCATTATCAAATATGAGGTCTTAGACAATTGTCTAACTTGCCTAATAGACGGACACCCTGGTTTTTTATTTTTCGTGAAACCGACTACCAAAAGCACATTGAAAATAGTTACACCCATGTTTTTTTGACAAAGGTCCTATTGTTGGCTCTTGACCATGTGGATGTAGATTATGTTTTTCTAAAAACAAACAAAAAACAGTTTATAAAATTTTTGTAAATATAAACTGAAAACGTAAATGTTACCAAACAGGCCATTAGTATTCACTACATAAAGAACATAGAAGATATATTTTCAATTCAAAATTAAAATTCAGATTTTAAGCATACTCGTCGGGTGAGCTCACCCTCTGGCATTATCAAATATGAGGTCTAAGACAATTGTCTAACTTGCCTAATAGACGGACACCCTGGTTTTTTATTTTTCGTGAAACCAACTACCAAAAGCACATTGAAAATAGTTACACCCATGTTTTTTTGACAAAGGTCCTATTGTTGGCTCTTGACCATGTGGATGTTATAAGATTGTTGTTGGCTGCTGCTACTTCTCCTACAAAAACAAATGTTTGTGTAAAGGTTAGCATTTGAAATGATACAGTGACATCTTTTAATTCCTATTCCAATGTTATGCCATGCTAGTAGTCCTGATAAATAAAGATACTGAACTCTGTTTTGGTCATTGTAGCTACCATTTTTGTTCACCTTTCTTTTCTAGGTTACTTGCACATAAATTTGTATAAATGTTGATCAATTTTTGTTAGTAAGCCATTTGAGAACATGGAGGGAAGTTAGGAGTCAGCTAGCTTCTCTATGAAATTTATATTATTGTTTTATAAATCTTGAAATGTTCTGGCAATCAGATTAGTTCAAAAGCATTGGATAAAATTTTCAATACAGAATAGATTTACTGGAAGGGATGTAATTTTGAATGTGTTCTGTGGTGAATTTAAGTGATTCAAAGAGCTAGAAGATTGAACCAATTCAAGAGAAACAAGAGCAGCAACCTCCTCTACGAGAAGCGCTCTGATAGTGCAACGATGATGTTCCCCATGACTTAGGGTAACCTTAAGTGTCTCGGTTTGCCTTTCCTGAATTGGTTGCTGGCTTAAAAGGCTGGAATTTTGAATTGTTTTGATGAAGTTAGGATTGTAATTTGGAGCCCCATTTAACATATATATTTGGTACACATATATATTCAAAATAAATAAACATAATAGTAAGAAAACATGTGAAGCAGATCAGCACCAACTGACAATTATGTAGCTTATTTCGGTTTAACAATTATAAACATAACAAAAACCATTTGCAGTAGCAATGAAGAGCGAAGTGTCATTCAAATCACTAAGTAAAAAGAACTCGCATTAAATCAGATAAAATACAAGCAAATTTATGTCCATACAATTTGTGTAAGTAACAAGGAAAAGAAAAACAATCAATCAAACAAACTTTACACAAGCTAAATAGATGTTATTTGAGTGCCAATACTCCCAGAACAGCAATACTAGTTACCGGGACAACTCAAGCACAACAGTGTTAAGAAACACAAAAAAAGAAAAGAAATTACCAATATACATAAACTGATCATGAATGGTTAACTGATAAACTGAGCCTGCCATTAATGGCCCTTATATTTTTCATATTCTCTCACATCGCGACCTCGCATTTTATGAGCAACAACCACCGCTAGGTTGTGTTTGGTGATCCTGTTTTTGCTTTAAGATATTTCTTTTAACTGCGGTAGACCCTTCTTCCAGAAGACTCGGAACCTCCATTATCTGAAGGGGAAAAAAATGGGTAGAACTTAGCTCAGAAAATGTACTCTATGTAATCGAATGACATAATTAGCTATTTCATAGTAGCATTTTGCTGACTGTGTTTTAAGAAACTTTCGAAGTAATTAGAAAAATTTTACAGATCATGGGCAAGTGAAATTGTCAGATTTATAGCTTTTGATGTTTCCCAATTTGCAACCATACCCGAGATCCACTCTTAACCCAAAAAAAAGAAAGACTTTTCACACTCAATAGCAACCAGTACAATCATTGAACCAATCCCATCTCCAAATTCTGCATTGTAATTCATGCAAATAAATGCCTAGTCTATCCTTACATATATGTTCATACAACTCCTTAATGGTTTGAAGAACTCCATACCAAGCGATATAATTAGGAAAACTCTATTCATAGATAAAATACATAAAGAAAACACCACAAGAATGAGGCGACAATGGCAATTCTGCAAATAAAATCTATTTTTATGGACCTTTTGTTTTTAAAGTAAAAAATTCACACTGAGCCTGGATGAAAATCCTGCATGAATTTTTTGTTTATATATCATTACTCATATAACTATAACATGGTCCTTCTATTTGGAAGTAAACAGCATTAGACTTATCTGAAGGCTGCATTAACCTTTAATGAATAACATATTTTGCAGATTTATATTCAATTTAAGTTTTTTTAGTTATTAGTAACTTTTTATAACCAAGAAAAAAATAAGTTATGGTTAAGTGGTAACTTCTAAAAAATTACTCTGTACAATTAGTCAATTCAACAGGAAAGATAAAAGGTATAAATGCTTTGTCTCTTACCTTTAAAGCAAGCTCTGCAAAGCATTGATCCACATTTTCTCGAGTTTTAGCGCTACATTCAAGAAATAAACATCCATGCTCTTTAGCAAGAGAAATTCCTTCTTCTCTACTTACAAGCCTTTCTGATTCCTGTCATGCATGGAATTCTTAAAATATGAATAACGAAAAAGGTCAATCCATCCTTTCAACAAGTGAAATTAGTAAATGAATGCAGAAGGAAGAATAATCAAATACATCTGTGGCAGACTACAACAAAAGTTCCTTATTGACAGTAACTCATCAGACAAATATAGATCATATCATTATCATCAAGTTTTATAAGTTCCACTTTACATAGAAAAACACAATATTCTACCTATTTGTGAACCACCTCAAGGTTTTTGAGATGCATTTTCTCTTCCAAAATGAAAGAATTGTATGATTTCTTGTCTCTTTGATTTATATTTTTAGAGTCCATTACTTCAACACAAAGGTTTTGCTCTGACTATGACCTTTCCCTTGAATACATCCAGTACATAGGGTCCAACTCTTCTATATCCATTTAATTTACTGATTATGATCTTAAATAAGAGAATAAACATATAAAACCAACAGCAGAAGGAATTTTGTAGTTTTGTCCAGTGGCGACTCCAGAAATTTGTACAGATGGGGTCACCTTGCATGTTCAAGTTCCACAAATTCTAGAAAATAAAAATAAAAAATAAAACTTTTAAACTAAACAACATTTAGGCCTTGTTTGAAAACTTGACTTTTAGATTAAAAAAACCAAAAGATTTTTTAAAAAAAATAGAAAAATAGAAAGCTAAAAGCTGCTAAAAAAAAAGCAAGTCATATATACCAGTCAATATGTTTTTTCATTCAACTAAAAAAAGTCATTATTGAATAAATTTGACTTTTTTCACCTTATAAAACGATCAAAAAGTTTTAAAAAAAAATTATTTAAAAAGCCAAACCCCGAACGATGCCCTAAACTTCTCAAACTTTATCTTTTATTTTTTTATTACTAAACTTCTCAAACTTTAAGTAGAATAAACTGCAAAAATATTATACTATTTGTCTTGACAATAAATAACATAAACTTTTACAATTGCATTTGATGAGGTTTTATTTTATTTTTTTAGAATTGTCGCATAATAACTCAGTGGTAACCATTGGTTCAATGGATAAGACTTGGCCTAATAACCTTAAGGTTATGGATTCAAGTCTTGGGGGCCACCACTTTGTGCATTATGCCAAAGGTTAGGTGTGTACTCAATCTTTTCCCTCCCAAACACACATTAATGTGTACCCTCCCAAACACACATTAATGTGTACTAATTGAGCGTTGTTTTTTTTTTGTTGTTGCATAATAACTTCATTGTTAATAATGTCAAACACATTTTCTTGTATATATGTAATTAAAAAATTATTCATTCACTGATGTCAAATTATACGATGAGGTTCCTCAATATTTTAATCAGATTAAATCATATTAAATAAAACATTAATAATACAAATAGTTTTTTTATTAAGAGTTTTTGATATGTTGATGGGACCCCATCAACCCCAAGCTAGCGTCGCCCCTGGTTTTGTCATGTCAGAAAACAATAGCACAGTGGTACCTTGAGGAATCAAGACAAAACCGAGGAAAAATATTCCATATCATTTCAATTGATCATTTTTTTCTCTCATTTATTTGCTTTTGCAATAGAGAGAGAATGAGATCTATTCTGAAGCATTTATCTTGCAACATGCAATAAATCAGAAAAAGTAAGAGAAAATCACAATAATGAACTAATCAAAATCTAGAGTGAACTTTCGCTCACAGCAAACATGTGACACAGATTATAGGAGACAAAAAGTCAATCTAGAAGGATGCCCGTATGATCACATATGTATTGGTCCCTTAACCATCTAATTCATTTTCTATTCGGGATCAATTTTTCAAGAACAGAAGAGAAAATGCAGAACTTACTCTATCAACTTTATTACCAACAAGCATCTTAATGCAATCCTGATTAGTTGAGTAAAGATCAACTTCTTTAGCCCACACATCTGACAAGTTTGTAAAGGTTTCCCTCCGTGTCACATCATAAACTGTAGATCAAGGGAAACCGTGTCACCTCAATAAAGTAAAATAATGGAAGAATAATGCACTACAAAAAATAGAAAAATATTACGCTAGCTACATATCTACAAGGGGATGAATTGTAGTCAACAAATTCAGTAAAATAAATTTTTCCTTACACCCCCATAATATTTTATTGTTGATGGCTTACCAAGAACAATCCCCTGGGCGCCTCTATAGTAAGAGCTTGTTAATGTCCTGAACTTCTCCTGTCCAGCTGCAACAGATATCATGAGTTTACATACCAATCACAATTTATTGACGTTGCTATGGGAAAAAAATTGTGCTTGTCAATTTAATCAAAAGAAAAGATGATAGATTAAAATAAATAAAAAAATTCAATGTATTAATGCATGTAGCACTACAGAAGCTTAAATAATATATAGACATTGTCTCATAGGCATCACCCATCCTAGAAAGGCAACACCTCTTAATCACATAGTAAAAGTCTTGTTTTCTTCTTTTGAATCCACACAAATATTTCCTTTCTGTACCAACAGAGCAGTAAGCACCTCTAACAAACAAATATAATGGATATCTCTATTTTGGCATAAAAAAAGGTTAATTATATCAAACTTCAGTACATCTTCATTCGAAGTTAGTTATCATATTAACATTTTCAAGGTCCATCACATAAATGATCCACAATTATTGTATCATTAGAGATAAAGTGAATGATCATAACCCCTTTTCAATTCCACAAAGTCTAAGGTGGAAGTTTTGTCACTTCAAAATGGCAAGAGGGAAAAATTAGACATGTAAGGAAATCACTCAAATGTGATAAAATGGGAAAAAAGAACTAGCTATGGAGACATGCTCATATGTCTGACAATATCACAAAAAACAGTATGGATAATTCAAACGCTCATTCACAAATTTACAAGCCTGGATCAATTAGTTCTTCCTAAATCTGGTAGGTTAGAAGGGTGTAAAACCCTTCGCCCTTAAACTGGGAAGCATGGACACTCCAAAATGGGTGCCGCGCCCGTGCAGGAGATATCAGACACGCGTATCCACATGTTGGACATGCCGTGTGGCATGTCATTTTTTTTCAATTATTATTGTTTTCGCAAGACATGTTAGGGACATTTCATAGACATGCATGTCCTATGTCTAGACATGCCTCAAGACAATTGTTGTTTTTTCTTTATTATATAATTTTCAAAAGATTATTTTGGTTAAAAGTGAAATATATGGAAACAAAAAAGGTGAAAGTGGAAAGAAACAAAAATACACCTACATATACATTGATGTCTCTCATTTCTCCATGCCCTAAATTCATGAGGGAAAAGTACATTTAAATGGGAATAATTTAAACAAATTGCACTTTCATAGTAGAGCAAGTGAGCTTGTGTCCAGTGCAAGTAAGAGTTGTGTCTGCAAGTGAGAGTTGTGACATGTCTACAAGTGAAAGCTATGGCACAATGATACAACTCTCACTTGTTCTGACTTGCACCTCCATGAAAGTGCATATATTTTGAATTGTCTCCACTTAAATGCAGTTTGCCCAATTTCTATTCATATACATAGCAAGTAAATATATATATATATATATATATATATTTTATTCCTTCTTGTGTCATGCAACGTGCTTCTTAGCTTTTAGATGTTCCTCTTGGGCAACCCTAATTTTATATTCATTTCCTCATTCTAGTCTTCATTATTATCCAAAAGGAAAAACAAGGAAAATATCAAACATATGAAACAACCTACCACAAAGGTATCTTGTTTTAGCCAAATTGTGTGAATAATACCCAACATGTGACAATCAAACAATAATCATCTAAAGATGGCAATAAAAGTCCTATAAAACCTGGAAGTCTTGTTTGGAAGGTACGATGAAACAATATACTATTGGCACTTATTACCTGTATCCCAAATGGTCAGCTTCAATCTTTTCCCACCAACCGTCAGCTGCTTGATTTTAAAGTCCACACCTAATCATAGTTGAGATGAGAAAAAAAAAAAAATCAATTTATGATTAGATCAAAAATTTCATCCCGTCACGTAGAAGGCAAGCTTGTATTAATTCAATTCCAATAAAGTATTCAGAACGTTATAATTCCATTCCATGGGAAAAAAAATTTACTAAGGCATTTACTTCTGTAGAAAATTTAATGTATAAAGAGAAATAGAGAATTGTATTATTGATTGATATTAATGTTATATTTATTACAATGATTCATGATTCCTATATATAGAAGAGGGTGAGTGTGTAGTAGGTAAGGAGTAGGTGAAGTGGAGGTGGTAGTGGTGTAGTGGGTTAGGTTTAGTGGAGTAGGTGAGGTGGTAGTGGTGTAGTGGGTTAGGTTTAGTGGAGTAGGTTTAAGTGGGTGAAGTAGGTGGAGAGTAGGTGGATTTTAACAACTTCGTTTAAGTGACGGAGAAAATTCTATTAAGAGGTCAAAACTATTGACAAAACCGAGTGTTATTTGATGAGTCAAGGAGAATTAGGAAGACATCGACCCCACACCCCATCAAAAGAATGAACTTTCAACAAAGTTTGGCAACAGATCTTGCCTACACCACCAAGCAATTACTACTTCTATTTTTAGCACTAAATCACATGGTTTAGCAGGTGGTCAATTGCACAACTCATATAGTGGAGTAACAAATTATAAATCTCAAAAAGCTACTCTAAATTTCTTGGCACGCCATTCTCAACTCATCCAAATTACATTAGCATATGCCAGCAACCAGTAAAGCATGAAACTTCTATATGACTTTCCAGCATAGCAAAACCCAAAAATCTCTATTGCTAATATAACATATTGACTCGAAACAACCTTCAAGAGGAAAGAGGGGTAGAAAACACCATTAAAACTTTGAGCATGACATCAAACAAAATTCTTAAAAGACTAACCAATAAGAGTAAGGGAGCATGCGGAGCAATGGCACCACCATACAGTTGGTGCATTTGTATGATATGCCAAAGCAGCTACTTGGGTGCACAGAATTAAGTATTTGAAGATGCCAAAAAAAAAAAAAAAGAGAGAGAAAATACACTTCAAGCAATTTTCTAATCGGAGACACAATGAGCCATCAATTTTCAACTGGTGATTTCATTGGCCTTAGTTCTAGTCAAGAACTGTTCACCTCTTACATACCACAGAAGAAAACAGGAAGGCAGAACAGAACCTAAGGAAGGTCTTTTAACCAATGAACTCTATTGATTTCCATGTAGTACTACCATGGTTCTAAATCGCAGTACCGGGACATGTATCGATATCTTAAGTATCAAGTGATGTATTGGGAAATGGGTGTTGCAGTCACAAATTTTTAAAAATCATTGGCAGCTCTTCTAAAACACAATTATATGTATTTTTTTAACTCTCTTAAAATCAATTTGTCAAGTAAAAATAGTTTTGAGACACATTTTTTATTTAATGAAAATATAAAAATGAATGATAACATTGCTCAAAGAGAATTGATGACATAAAAAGATGATAGGTGGAGACCCTTTGACTGGTTGGTGGAAGCAAAACCATCAACCATTTGGGTAGAAAAGTCAACACCTACCAAGAATAAACGCCTCTAAATATAACACTTCTTTCTCATATTTTGTTATATAATCTTATTCCTGGTTTGATACCTCTTCTTTTCTCCAACCATCTCTCTCTTGTTCTCATATTTCTCTTTCTTTCTTTAGAAATTGAAGCAGTACAAGCGTAGATCTGTGTTTGTGGGATGTTAATGAAGACAAATGAAGAAGGAAACGGGGGATTTGCAGCAAAAAATTTGGACAGAACTCACAGGAACTCAGATCTGTGCCTTGAGGAGGAATAAAATGAAGAAATTCACAGCCAAAAAGCGAGACAGAAATGAACTGCGCTGCCACTGCTCTGTTTTCTGCTTTGAAGTGGGAACCGGTCTGTTATGGAGAGAAGCAGTCATGTGTAACCAGATTGACCCATTATGAAACAGAACCCAACCGGTTTGGCAAAGAAAATCAATCTTACTGCAATACAGGTCTGTGACCGAACCAGCTCCTTTAAAAACCTTCACATATTGGCCGGTTCGGTACATGATAGCTGGTTTTTAGTTCCTTGATCACAATTATCTCAAAAATTTGTTGAACCAAACCAAACAGTGAAACCTCTAAAATCAAACTAGCATATAGAACCAAAATAAAAATTCATTCTACCTGTAGAAGTATGTTAAAAAATATCAACAAAAATAATTCACTTTTTCAGAATATTCACCAAACTAGCCTTTTATAAAATGTGTCTACAACAAATTATTCATATTATATAAGAACTATTAAAAAATACAATTTTGAATCATTTAAGAAGTGTAAAAATATGTTAGTGAAATATACATATATATATATATATATATATTTATATAGAGAGAAAGTACCTTGTGAATAGGATGAATGAAGCCCTCATCTAAAGCAAGTACTTTACAGAAACCCCTATACGTATTACACTATAAGAGATAGCATGGTTTTGTTCGGTTTGCTCTAGTCTTTTTGAGCGTTAATCTATGAACCGAACCATAATCAACGATTCTTAATTACTTCGAACTGAACCTAATGATCCCCTCAAAAAAAAAAAAAAAAAAAAAAAAAAAAGGCACAGTTTGGACCGTTCTAGATCGGTTTACTGGTTCACTTCTCTTTTTGAGCACCACTCAGCCCATCAGATTTAAATACTAAAGTTTTCACCACAATAAGCTTATTGAAGGTCTATCAATTAGTAGTTACTCCTTTCTAGTCCTTTTTGTCTTACACTAACTTGCTGCTAGTGTTTTAAAAATGTGTATGTGTGTGTGTACGCGGGCGCGCGCATGCGTGTGTGTGAGAGAGAGAGAAAAAAAAAGAGAGAACAAAGCTACAAGTCATGAGCAAATTAATGAAGGAATCGTACAAATTGTGAGCAGTTCTTTGTCAACAACCATGGCTCTAATGATTGTCCATATTGACAAAAAAATATTTAACTCTCTACGAAAAGTAATCGATCAAATCTACTTTCCAAAAAAAAAATCATATTCTGTATTCTGGAGGCTTTATTAAATTATAACTAATGTCAACATGATTTTTGAGAAGGGAAAAGAGTCAAATTTCTCAAAAGAGGCCTATTTTTAGAATGAAGTGCTTCAATATTATTTGAAATGATTACGTCATAGTTGCAATTTTCCATTTCACCAAATCTTTAAATAATAAATCTATTTCCAACAAATATTGCATAATCAATTGAATCTTTCTTGAATTCACTTTGCCAAGCCAAAATTTAAACCCCAACTTCTGAAGAATTTTCACAAGTTTTAAAATGATCCCCCTTCAGATTAAGCTAAAACAACATTCGATTTCGAGGAATTCATACAGTAATGTTTTTGATAGCCCCTTCCCCATTTCAACATAAAACCACTAGCAAAAGGTTCCCCTATTACTCAATGCCTATGTAGAATATGGATAAAAAACATCTTGCCAATTTAAGGCCTATCAAATGAAAGCAACCCGAACCTTATTTCGATAGTAGTCTAGCTCCTCGAGATAATATCCCAACTCCAGCACTGGATTAACTCAGCCCTAAAGGAATTATTACATGGCATTGCTCTACTCATCATATCTATGAGAGAAAAAATTTAGCAAGATGGAAGAATTACAACACTCAATGTAACAAAAGTCACATTCGGTTTCTTTAGCAGCTATAACACAAGCTATGATAACTATATGCAATAGGGAGTAAAAATAATGTTTCTAGACAAAATAAGAAATAAATCACTTCTGTAGATCCATAAATAAGATTTACGAATAATTTGCATTTTATTGCATTCATGACCAGCAACCCAGCAAGCTATCTCTAGTTTAAGTAGAAGGAAGGAATCAGATAGTTGGTACAAAATAGTATGTGCAGCATCCCATCCTATTCCCACCTCCAATCATGAAATAGCACCCTAGTTAAACATAAGGAAGAGATAAAACTACCACAAGATAAATGAGTACAACCTAGTTTAGTCTCCATTGGATGGGGTTTGGAGGAGGGGAATTGGGTACAAACCTAACCTTTGGCATTTCCTCGAGTATGAACCCACAACCTCAAAGTTGATAGGCCAAATTTTAACCACTAAACTAGTGGCGTCCTAATCAACTACCACTAGATAAAAAAACATCCATATATATATCTTGCTAACTTGCTCAGATATATGAATTTACCTCCTTGCAGCTATTCTTTGGAAATAAGGGCGTATATATTTTCCCTTCTTTTTCTTCAATTCTTTACATTTCCTCCCTTCGTGAATACAAGCAATATTACCAATCAAAGTTGCAACATAGCAGTTCTCTAGCCGGTTGACCATAAAAAAAACTCATCTTTTTTTTTCCTTTTGTTGCCTACGCAATTTACCTAATGAGTTACAAGATGGGTTGAGCATCACATTGGCATGGCTATTTTACATTTTTTTCTTTACAGTGACACGTGAAAACATTATTATGTTGCACTTCAAAATAACAGCATCCCTTCAAGACAAACTGCATAAGCAACAGGAATTTCTGGTGTTCTTTATAAATTAGCTGTATCTACTAGTATGTGGACTTCACAGCCCCTGAGCATGCTAAACGTCAAAACCATAGACTTGTTTAGTAGGGAGTAATTGATTAGGGAAAACAAATTCTTGGAGAAATGACCAAAGAGCATGGACCACATAGAGAACAAAACTTGAATCAAGGAAAGCAGGTATAAAATTGCATGAACATACACTTGCTACTCTTTTTGAGTCACTTTAGAAATCCATCAAAAAAAAAAATTCATATAATCACAACGCAAATAAAATTGAAGCAAAGCACAAAGGACCAAGGATCACCACAGCTTGCTCGCCAAATTTCTCTTACCGTGACCCTACTTTCCTGCTTTGTGTATGAATGTAATAAGATCGATGGAGTTCTCCTCCAAGACACCTTTGGTTAACCGTTCACACCTAATCACCCATTTTCCATTCCTACATAGAGTCATGGGTAACGACAGATCCAGATTGATTGATTATGTAAGGCCCCCGATCAATACAAGTCATTGAGCACCTCTTTTTGATCAACATGGCTGCAACTGAACTAAGCTTTTGTGCTTAAGCCAACTATTAAGACTAAAGCTATGCCTATACAACAGTTGATCATCCAAGCTGCATATTTCAACCAATGGCACCACACAAGATTTGCACAATTTCACATATGATCAGACAACCTATTTCTAGGGCTCATCAAGTATTAATTTCCAATCAAAATTAAAATTTGGTTCTAATTCACAAATTCACAAATCTCCTAACATAAAATGTACAGTAAATAAACCAAACAAAAAAAAAAAAAAAAAAAAAAAAAAAAAAAAAAAAAAAACACTTCAAATCCATACAAGTTGAATCAAATCAACATACATTAACTACTTAAGAGTTCAAAAAATCAAATCAGATATCAACCAAAAGCTGATAATTCAAATTACACTGATATATATGTATATATATATATATTGAGAAAATGAAGTGAGTACCAATGGTAGGAGCGAGATCTTCAACAGAGTTGGAGATGAAACTGACGAGAAGACAGCTTTTGCCAACGCCGGAGTCGCCGATCAGCAAGATCTTGAATGACAGATCGTAACTGCTGCTCTGTGCTGACGACGAACCCATTGATGATCAATGTTTCTCTCTCTACCTTCTCTCTCTGTTTCTCTCTCTAACCACAACAAGGACGACAACAGTGACAATGTTGTGTATTTAATGAGATACAAAACAAAGCAGAGAAAAAGTGAAAGCTCAATGCATATCTCTTTTCTCTAATGTTGGAATAGAAAGAAAGTATGATATGTATCTATAGGTGAGTGTGTATTTACGGGGCTGTTTGGAGGGGGTTACATTAGTATATTTTTTTTAGAATAATGTTATATGTACCAATTAATATATTAATTAATGTATCAATTGATAATGTGATATAATTTAAGAGATTTTTAATATTTATAATATGATTAATGAGTGTAGTTAATAATAATGTTATAGCTAGTGTTGGTACACTAAGCAGTCTACTAATTGGTGCATATAGTAATGTCGATTTTTTTATTTATGAAAAAATATATAATATGAATTGAGATTGAAATGATATAGTAGAGAGATGAAATGTGACTTAAATAAGTTGATCTGAATTTAAATAAAATAATATATTAAAATAGCATGTCAAACAAGTGTGTGCTTGTTAGAGGTTTTTTAGGCCTCGTTTGGGAACCCTCCATTTTAGTTAAAAAGTCAAAAAGTTACTAAATTAGTTAAAAAACTAACAACTCATACTAAAAAGTCAAAGATTCTCTTTTCTCTCTACTTTTTGCACATCTTTTCGTAAAAAATCAAAAAATCATCCCAAAAATACTAGTTTTTTTTAGCTTATATTTTAGCTAAATAGCTAAAAAGTTACTAAATTAGTCTATTCCCAAACGAGGCCTTAATTTTTTGATTTTTGACTATTTTAATTTGGAGTTAAAAAGTTCGTTTGGATTGAACTTTTTATTTTTTTTTATAAAAAAAATAAATTTATTATGATTTAAATGTAACATTTTATCTTATTAATTTTTTTTATATATTTTATATTTTTATAACTAATAACCAAAAAAAATCAAATTAGCCTTTAGTTAAAAAGTCAACAACTCATATCAAAAAGTTAAAGATTTTCTTTTCTCTCTACTTTTTGCACATCTTTTCGTAAAAAGTCAAAAAATCATCTTCAACATACTAGTTTTTTTTAGCTCATATTTTAGTCAAATAGCCTAAAAGTTACTAAATTAGCTTGTTCCCCAACGATGCCTTAATTTTTTATTTTTTGACTATTTTAGTTTGGAGTTAAAAAGTTCGTTTGGATTGAACTTTTTATTTTTTTTTATAAAAATAAATAAATTTATTATGATTTAAATATAACATTTTATCTTATTAATTTTTTTATATATTTTATATTTTTATAACTAATAATCAAAAAAAAAAAAATCAAATTAGCCTAAACGAAGGGGGAGAGAGAGAGAGTGAAATAGGAAAAACGGCTACGGGGACAACAAAACGTTGTGTTGTTCAACTTGTTTGTCTTTTTGTTTGTGATTCTGTTGGTTTTCTTAAGGATGTTTTCGTTTTTTCATTTTCGCAACAAAACACATAAAAAGTTGTTTTGTTTTGTCCAAGTGTTTTTTTAAATTGTTTTCTGAAGAATATTATATTAATAAAAAAATCAATTTTGAGGAAATATTCAAAAAAAAAATTGCACAAAAAAAGAATATTATATATATAAAAAAATCAATTTTAAGGAAATATTCAAAAAAAATTGCACAAAAAAGTAAGAAAAATTAAAAGCAATTTTAATATTTTCAAAGTTTTCATTTTTTTTTTTCAAAACTCAAACATATAAATTACAATCAACAAATAAAAAGTTTAATTATACCAAGATACAGTTAATTATTAAAAAATATTACTTTACCCATTTTAGAGGTAATTTGGAAGGAATAAAAGTGATATATTTTTATAATTAAATACTAAAAATATACTAATTCATATATGAGATTGTAGAAATAATATTCACTAATAATTGAGAGATGTTAGTGTAATTAAACCCATATAAAAGCAAAAAATATTCAACGGTGGTTATTCTTTTCTTTGATTCAACAACTATTCTTGTTGGAAAAAATTTCGATGTGCAATGCACATCATATACAACCCTACCACAAAATTATGTAAATTTTCACAAACTTATATAGATGATCTCACAAAAATGCGTAATTGATCTCATAAGTGATCTTATGCTATGAGATCACTTATGTATTTTTGTGAGATCATCTTTATAAGTTCGTAAAAACTTATGTAATTTTGTGATAGAATTACATCCAGTGTGCATTGCACACCGAAACATTTTCTATTAATGTTATCAAATTTTAAAAATAATAATGTTTATTCATTGGCAAATTATATTTTATGTAGTCTCTTCTAGTATGAAATTGGTATTACAAATACACATCTTGAGATTTGCTTAAAGTACAGATTGCTCCATGTGATTTGAAAAATTACAAATACTCCTTTATTAGAATTTTTTATTTAGCATAATTAACGAAAAAAATGAAATTCGTAATTGCTTTCCTATACAATAATAAAATTACCTAAATTATTAATTGAGACATATTTTTAATATTATTAAAAACTATTAATTGACTTGATGATTTATTAATAAAACGAGCGATTTGTTATGAAATTAGAAATCTCGGGGGTGAAATGTAATTTTCAAAATCATATCAGGCGATCCATATTTTAATCAAATCTCATGGAACATATTTGTAATTTATCCATAATTTTAATGCATCAATTTTGTACTCTAATTTCTAGTAATAATAAAAATTGTACTCTAATTTTTTATACTATCAATATAGTTTAATTAATAATAATATCCTTTATAAATTAATTTGAAATTAAAAAGTAAAAGTAATTGGGAGATTGAGGTACAGTTTGAAATAGTTCATTGTCTTCTAGACCATTTTAATCTTTAATTTTTATCCAATTCATAACAAATATTATCAATTCAATTAAATTAATACAAAATAAAAAAATTTAAATAACAAAATTAATATAATTAAAAAACAAAAAACAAAACAAATTAGGGAAAAGACAAGTGTAATTAGGGCCTTTATTCTTTTCTTTGCTTCAATCTCTTTCTCTCTTCATACTCAAATAATATCAGATGCGATTCCGCTTTCGCGGAACGTACGGTTCGTGTCGTGACTTGTAACCCACCTGAGCCGAAAAGAGAAAAATGGTTTTCTTGTAATTACGGCTATGGAGATGGCTAAGGGGTGAATCATTGCCCACTCGCAATGGCTTCGGTGTTGATACCACGCACTTTTAGAAAACATGGCTAGAGAGCAATTGGGCCCCATGTACTTTGGTGAATGGTCCTAATCCGAATGGACTTATATGGTTGTGGTTTTATATTTTGAACATAAAAGGTGTCTCATTGTGAGGCAGATTCTAGTGAACTTGTTTATGCTTTTAAGACAAATGGGGGATAAGAAGGATTGTTTAATCAACAATGATTCATCCTCTCTTTTTCTCCCACCTCCTTTGACCCTCTCTCTCTCTCATTGGTTATCTTTTCTTTATCTTTTTCTTTTTTTCCCTGTTCCTCCAATCACCATCTGCCACGTGGCAAAGAGGGGTGAGGGGGTGACCCCCAAAAGGGGGTCCCAAGCATTATTCTTGTTTAATATGATTTGGAGTGTAAATTTGATCCAGATTGACAAAAGGTGTTGAGCTTGTCAGGCTCCCATCTAAAAATTGATTTGGGACAGGTCGATTTATTTGTGCAAAATCTCAGTGCAAGCCCTAGAGAAATTTGCTCCTTGGGCTGCGTCTCAAGCATGAGCTCGGACCTAGATTCGGGCTTGGTAATTATTTATTTTTATTTTTTTCATCAAAATAGCTTAAATATAACGTTGGACATTGGGCGGGTCGGGTCTCAAAGTGGGCTTGGATGGAGTTGGTAGGCAAGGACTTTGGGCTCAGTCGGGCCAGAAAAACATGGCCCAGACCCTAGTTTAGGAGGCTAGGCTGGGCTGGGTCGAGCTGAACCTCTGGCGAGTTTCGAGCCAGCGGGGCAGTTTTACACCCCTAAATATAATCTATATCAATTTTTATATTTAAATTGAAATTTTTGTAGAGAAAAGAAATATAAAAATAAAATAAAAAGTAACAAAAATAAAATTAATTTTAAGGATTAATTAGTGAAATTCTTTTTTATGGGTGTATATGGCATATGGTCTAAGGATTGATATCATTAATGAAATATATTGGTGAAAACTACAAATTATTGTTCTAAATGATTTTTTCTCTTCATTTTTACCCTTGTTCTTTTTCTATCTATGCTTTCTCTCTTTTTCAAACACTAATATCAATTGTTACCCTCCACCATAACTAGCAACTCATTGAAAAAGTAATAGGAAAATTGGTTGGCACTGGGAAAGTCATCGAAAAATTGTCTGCCGTTGAAAAATTCATTGGCGACGTCCTACAGTAGTGGGCAACGGTGCCCAACAAGTGGACAAATAGGCAGATAGGTAGACATATGGACAAATCAATGGACACATGGATAGATAAATAGGACATGTGAACAAATTAGTGGATCGATAGATGGACATATAAGGATATTATAGTCTTTCAAATTATTATTATCTATATGAACAAAAAAAATGGAGTTTGAGACAATTGTCTCAAAAATTTAAAAATTAAACTACCGATTGAAGTGCCTGACTTTTAATCAATTTTCTCTCTCTTTTTTCTCTACAAATTCCTATTTCAATTCAAGATTTGGCTAAAGGTTGCAAAATGGAATTGAATTGCAAAGATGAATCCGATTTTAAGTTATATTTGGATAGAAAAAAAGAAAAAGAAAAAAAAAACAAATGCCAATAAGTCCTATTTTATTTTTATAGATTACTATTGGATCCTATCAAATATTAATATGGACAACTAAATTATATTTGTTATGAAATAATCCAAAAATGTTCATTCTTCCATAATGAGATATGTTATTTTATTTTTACTCCTCTTTAATATGAATAACAATTTCATAAATATTTTAATCCAAGTAAAATTATATTTTTAATTGTAAAAATTATGATATTGTATTAAAAAAATCTTGAAATCACAATAAAAATAATTACCAATAAATTTTATTTTGTTTTGAAAATTATTATTGAGTTATATCAAATTTCAATATTCATAAATAAGTCTTATTTTATTTTTTAATTAATGAATTGTTAAAAAAAATCAATTATTCATAATTATATATTTTACTTTAATTTTATTTTTCTCATTAAAATATGAACTAAAAATTTTGTAAATACT